ACTCTCATAGGATCGACCTGCCATTCTGGGAACAAGTCTGGTGAACCTTTGTTGCACTCCCTCTATGACAATAATATCTTTCCTGAGATTATGAGATCAAAACTGCATACTTCAATCCAGATATGTATGTGAGTATGTCTTTGTGTATGTTAGCTGTTTCTTGCGAGTTCTGATACAAATATTACACTCCAGGAGGAGATGATGCTCATCCTCTAACAATCCAATTGAGTGATTTAAAAGGGGCAGTTAGGATATTCTTCACTAGGGTGAAACCGCAGCATGATTGTGGGCTTTGGAAAAATGACAATGACAGAACCAGGCCTGCTCCAGGCACCACATAAAATGTTTATCTTCCAGATCACCTTCCCTTCACTAGTAATCTCAGACAAAACATCATGTTTCCATATAATACAAGAGATTGTATTTGAGATCACTTTTTTTTAGCTTGAATTGTGCTGGATGATGACGGTATTAACCAGCTCCCTAACCCTTCTGCCAGTTCATTTACTGAAACCAAGGACTCCCCCTTTCTAATATCCTGTCGGCCCAGTTATTCCAGCCAATCAGTTCTTGAATCATTTATGCGTTGTTTTGTCACGTTCCTACACTTCGGCAACAAATGTTCAGATGTTTACTGCAGCCCCCACAGTGTTCCCTCCGTTTAAAGCCACAGACGGAAAGTTCTATTCTATGTTTTATGTTCTTCAGCTAAGTGCCTGAACTAACGTGAAAATATATGTATGAGTTTATTGCCGCCAGGAAGCGGTGGTTGATGTTGGTTTGGACTTCATTTGGGTGCATTCCCTAAGGTAAAAAGGCCTTAATGTAGCCTTTACCACCTTTCCAGGAAACCCCTTGTTGATTTGATGTGAGAGCTGAGAAACTGAAACAGCTATACTTGTTGAAAGGCTTTTAGAAGACATCCAGAACAAACTACGTTTTAAGAGATTTAAAGGGACAACTGCTTATGTCTGGCGACACCCGTCTGTTTCCATACCCGTGATCTTGTGCAGAGATGTTAGACTGAAAGAAATCTTATCGCTTTATTCTCTGAGAATTTGCAACTGTTTCAACCCAAGTGCTTTTTGTTCAAAGTCAATCGCTGAAGGAAATGTTTTCTTATTTTTTTCTTTCACTGATGTGTGTCAGAGAGCCTTTGTGGTTGGGCTATTTAGAAAACTAAATTTGTACAGTTCAAACTGTTATTTCAAACTGTTTCTTGCTTTACATCTTTTTGAATAAGGCTTGTTATAATAAATTAAAGTTATTTTTATGAAATAGATATATGCTTGATGCATCTTTTAATTCTGAATCTAATACAGAAAAAAATACAATAGATTATTTAGTAACTGGGTCATTTTTATTTCATTCATGTGATGTGAGCTTTGTTAACTGGGTAAGCATTTATTGCCGATCCCTAGTGGCCTTCTTGAACGTTTGTTATGAATTTGCTGTCGGTATACCTACATGCTGTTAAGGAAGGAATTCCCAGGAATTTGACTCGGGGTTGTAAGATGTAGAGCATAAGTAGACTATTTTACCTATGAAGTCTTCAATGAGTTCATGGCTGATCGGATATTCCTTAACTCCACTTTCCTAACTTCTCCATATAACCCTTGATTTCCTCACTGAATGTTAATCTGTCTATCCCAGCCTTTTATATACTAACTGTTCCAGCTTTTCAGGGCTTCCAAAGACATGCTACTCTCCGAGAGAATAAATTCTTCTGCATTTATGAATAAATGTGCAGCACCAAATGAGATATGACTTCTGGTCCAATCTCTCCTACGAAATGAAACAACATTTCTGTGTTTAACCTATCAAGTCATCTAAGAATCTTGTATGTTTCAATTAGGTCACATCTTATTCTCCTACATTCCAATGTGTACATACTCAACCTCCTCAAGACAGTCCCTCCATACCCATTATCAACCTTGAGAACATTCTCTAAATTTCTTCAATACACATACATCTTTCCTTAGATTAGTTGTCCAAAATTGTTTACAGTACTCCAGCTATGGTCACAGAAACGTAAAACTGTGGTAATAGAAGCCAAAGTAGGCTATTCAGCCCTTTGACTCTGCTGTTTCAATAGATCATGGTTGATCACTCAACTCAGTACCTTGTTCCCTGATATTCAACTGCTTTCTGTAGAACAGAATTCACAGGCTTACCATTTTTTGGTTGAAGAAATTTATCCTCAACTGAGTTCTAAATGGCTTACATTGTGTCCTTAGTCTGTGACCCCAGGTTCTGGACTCCTCAGTCAACAGGAACATCCTTCCTGCGTTTACTTAGTGCTGTTAGAATTTTATAGTTTTCTGTGAGCTACCCCTCATTTTATTAAACTCCAGTCAACACAGTTTTAATGCATTTCCATTTGCCTTCCCATTACCACAGAAGTTGGATGCTACTTTTTGTGATTCACAGATGAGATCTCTTAAGTCCTCTCTTCTGCAGCATTCTGATGTATCTCCCCATTTAAGACGAATTCAGACACTGTATTCTTCTTGCATATTCCGATGTTTTCCCACATTATATTTTATTTGCCAGCCTTTTGCCTATTAATTCAATTCTGTGTATCATCCTCACTATTTGTCTTGCTCTAAAACAGCGTTATATAGTTCAAAATCAAGTGTGTGAGCAGCTTGGAAGGTATCTTTCATTCTTGAGATATCCTGCTGTAACATTATTCCAACTCGATTACATATCAAACACTCTGTTTTTTTTGTCTTCTGCATCATAACCAATTTCACAGGATTACTTTACATAAGTTTTGTGACACAGATATATACATACATCAATCACAGAACATTGTGTATTATGATTCCATGTAAAATTAAAGTTACAATCTAGTTAGGGACCAATAGGATTGTTTTGGAACACAGGCAAAATTTGAGATCCATGTAACTAATTGTATACAATTTCGTGATTTTGATCAAACAATAAATTTTACTACACAATGTGAGATCAGTAAAAATCGAATATATGTAATATTACACGTGCAACCTACATTCTAATACATGGAATCAACTAGAGGTAAATAGAGGTACCAGACAAGGTGTTTGAGCACATCACAGAGAAAATCAAATGGGTAAAGTTGTAAAGAAAGAGCCAATAGTGTAGTGGCAATATTGCTGGTCAAATAATCCAGATTTCGAGACTTATGTACTGTGGATACGGGTCCAAACAGATGGCAAAATTGAAATTCAGTTTTTAAAATTCTGGAATAAATAAACTGGAATAATAAAAATGTCTATAGTATATTCTCAATTATTATCAAAACCCATCTGGTTCATCATCTGGTTAATAGTCTTTCATTATGGAAATCAATGATTCTTGCTTCATCTGGCCTACAGCCCTGTGGTTGATCTTTAGCTGCACTTTGAAATGGCCTAGCAGGCCAATAAGTTCAAGGGGGTGATTGGATAATCCTCGATTTCACTTTCCTGCCTTTTCGCTATAACCCTTGATTTCTTATTGATTAAAAATTTAACCCAACCTTGAATATACTTAATGGCCCAACCTTGACTGCTGCCATTCATAATTCCTCAGATTCTGAAGCTGTCTATGTTCAAATGAACAAAACCTGCTGAATATCTAGGTTTGGGCTGACAACTGGCAAGCAATATTATTACCACATAAAAGTCAAACAATTCTGATCTCCAACATGAGAAAATTTAACAATATCTTTTGACAGTCAACTACATCAATATCTCCCATTATCAACACCCTGGGCGTTACCACGGACTGGAAACTGAACTCGACTAGCCACATAAAAATTGAGACTGCAAGAGCGCTAGGAATACTGCAGTGATTAAATCTGCTAATGACTCCCCAAAGTCAATCCATCAGCTACAAGACAAAAGTCAGGTGTGTGATGAAATACTCCCTTCTTGCCTGGATGAGTAAAACTCCAGCAATTGGAACTTGAAGCCATCTAGGACAAATCAGGCTGTTTGATTGGTGCCACATCCACACGCAATCACTTCCTCCACCACTGCTGCTCATTAGTAGCAATGTGCACTATTTTTAGGATGCCTGCAGAAATTCACCAAGTCTCTTTGGATAGCACCTTCCAAACCCACTACTAATACCAAATAGAAGGTCAAGGGCTGCAGATATGACAGTAGATTTGCCGACATAAGCAGCTACAAGCAACAACCTCTTATCTGTAGTAACCGTATGCGACTTTGGATTGCACCTTTGGAAGAAAAAAAAAACAGTCATGGGTGTGATGCAGTGAATATTAACCAAAATGACACCTGAGCTAGAAAGATTATATTGTGAAAACCAGTTTCATTTACTTCTGACGCTTAAAAAAAATGATCTAACTGTGGTGATTAAAGAGATTAAAGGACAAATATGGCAGCTACATAAAAGTGATTTCTTCTGTTGTGGCAGCAAGGTAACACCACAATAAATTAGGACTAAAACTATTCAGAGATGATGTCTTCAAGCATTTCATCACTCAAAATATGGCGAATTTTTCAGCCCTCTCCCTCCAAAAGCTCTTCAGTTTGGGGTGAATTGAAAATTAATTGATGTATTTTCATGTCTAATGTTGTTAAGGGAGAAAGATGTCAAATGTTGGATGCAGTTTGGATAAAGATTTGTCATATTGTAGCAATCTTGATACATTCTGGACAGAATGAATTGTCTCCTTTAACTTATGTATTCATTTGTTTAAAAGGATCAATATAATAGATGCACAGAGGCTCCTCTCACCATATGAGGACTTCCAACACCTGACATTTATAGAGCAGAGATATGCCAAATGGTTGAATGAGGACGACCAATTGCCCTTCATTTTTATATGATTCGACTGTTTGACAAGAGATAATGACAGATCCATCTTTGCCACAATGCCCCTGGTGTTATTTTAAATGTAGGCTAAAAATATGAGAAATGACTCCAATTCACACTAATCAATATTTAGCGAGGTGTATTCATTATTTTCAAAAACTGTAAGAAAACTCTGGCCCATCATGGTGACTGAGTTATTCTTGTAATGGCTTTACAAATTTCCATATTGAATGCATGGGATATTGCACCAAAGTCTTTAACTGATCCCTGAATTTACTTTGAGTAACTGCATAAATAAATGTATTTGTGCAGCAACTGAACAGCTGAAGCATATTTGCACTTTCTATGAGAATAAATTTGGGGTCACTGAAACCTTGGACTTTATAATCATTTGTAAGTCGCTCATATAAGAACTGTATGACATATGTCAACCACAAAAGGATGAAACTGCCTGAGATGGTGAAGAGTAAGACAATGGACTTTCTCCGGCTTTCCATTTCTGGATCATGATGAGTCTCTTTGTTGTTATGAACCTGGAGCCTTCTACGGGCTCTACTGGCTACTAAAATGTGTCTTACAGTCAGCACATTAAGCAAAATAATCAGAAGGAACGGGAGGCATGGCGTTAAAAGATGATCAATCCAATCAAAAGCTGTCCAGGCAGGAGAAGTATAACGAATATTTTTCAGCCTGCAGTACCAAGACACGTTGTCTATTTTGTAGATGGGTTCATGTATAAAATACCATGGGATGTTAGCCACACATCCCAGGGCACAGACCAATCCTACGACCACTGCCGCTGTTTTCTCAGTGCAATATTTTGTTTTCAGCTTCTGGCAACAAATTGCCACAAATCTATCGAAGGTGAAAGTGACTGTCAACCAAACAGAACTGACTCTGGCTGCATAAATTAATGCAATACTGATACTACATATCAGAGTGATGGAAAGGAAACTGCCTGGAAAATAAATGCCAGGAATTCTGTTTAATACCACAGCGGTGATAATGACCAGTAGATCTGTCACTGCCATGGACACTAGGTATCGAGTAATACATCCGGATAGACCACATCTTCCTCGTGTCAGAATCAGTATCGTCACTAAATTAACTGTAGGAGAGAGAGAGGATAACATTCACTTATAAGAACACACAGTAGTGTTTTGTATATTCAGCAGTGGTGCATATATTTTGAAGCAATGAAAACTGATATAATCATTCAAGACAAAAGTAAGATGGGCAGAAATCCTCGGATGACTGAAACACAAAATTTAAATCCGACTGTACCAAAGTTCATTGAATAAATTAACAAATGCCAACAAATAATGAATAAAACAGATGAATAGCAAGCACATACCATTTGAAGAGATTACATGGAACTAATGATAAGATCAAATGCAGCAAACTGTATGATACCAGAGAAACAGACCAGGCCATTCAGTTCCTCGAGCCTACTCTATGGTTCAATAAAATCATGGCTGATCTGTGGTCTATCTGCACATACCAACGTTTCGTTTATGTGCCTTAATACCTTTGCCAAAAACATTCTCAGATTTCAAATTAGCAACTGATCCAGCATCCACTGCCGTTTGTGGAAGAGTGTTTCAAAGATCTACTTCTCTTTGTGTGTAGAAGTGCTTCCTAACATATCTCCTGAAATGCCTGGCCTCAATTCTCAAACTATGCCTCCCAGCTCTAGAAAGGTCAACCAGTGGAAATAGTTTCTCATTATCTACACCGTCCTTTCCTGTTAATATCTGAAGAATTTATTCATATCACACTAAACCTCCTAAATTCTAGAAAAAAGCATGCCTAATTTGAATTATCTCCTCTCATAACACAACTCCTGAGTCTAAATATCATTCTTGTGAAAGTACATTGTACTCTCTTGAAGGCCAATATAGTTTTCCTGAAGTATGGTGCCCAAATCTGCTCAGAGTATTCCATGTGAGTTCTAACCAGGGTTTTGAATAATTACAACATCACTTCTGTCTCCTTGCGCTCTAGCCTTCTTGATATAAATGCCGGCATTCCATTAGCCTTCTTGATTAATTTCCATACATGTTAATGTAATTTGTAGGCTCTGTGCAGCTATACGCCCAAATCTCTTCAGACATCTACTGTATTCAACTTCATGCTATCTGGAAAATATCCTGATCTATCCTTTTTGGTTCAAAACGGATAACCTCCCAGTTGCTTATATTAAACTCCAACTGTTACAGTTTTGCCCATTCACTTAGTCTGTCAATATATCTTATAATAATATACTACAGTCTACACTGTCTGCAATGCCGTTGAACTTTGTGTTGTCAACAAGTTTGGATAAATGACTCTGTCGGCAATTTTCCAATTCGTTAATGAATAATGCGAATAATTGAGGCACTATCACAGATCCTTGTGGTTCATCACTGGGCACATCCAGCCAATTTAAGTAATTACACATTATGTTTTATTTCTATCATTTACCACTGCACCAATTTCCCAGTCATATTAGTAATTTGTCTTCAGTTCCGGGGGCTACTGTGCTTAGTTAACAAACTTTTATGTGGGATTTTATTAAATGCCTTCTGGATGTCCCTATAACAACATTATTAGACATTCCCTGTCCACTACGTTGGTCACTTCTTCAAAACATTCAATGGAGCTTTGTCATGAATAATTTACCTGTCTGGAATCCTTGCTGGTTCTCCCCTATTAACAGAAAAATTTCAAGGTGTTCAGTTATCACCTCTTCGATTATAGAATCCAACAATTCCCTCTTCACTGATTTCAGGCTAACTCATCTGTAATTCCCTGGCTTTCTTTAGTTATTTTACCCATTAGTAGACTATCCCAGTTTACTGGGGACTGTTTCTCTCATCTTGTTAAAGTCGGCCCTACTTAAACCATAAGCTCTGGTAGCTGATTCATGCTTTTCCGTCTCAAATGCTACATTGAACTCGATCCTGTTATGGTCACTATTCGATAAATGTCCATGCACGATTTGGTTACTGATTAAATCTGGCTCATTACTCATTGCATACTCCTGCGCTACTTGTCCCCTTTCTGCATCCAGGACATACTGTTTTGGGAAACTCTCGAACACCCTCCAGAACGTCAGTATATTTCTTACAGGTGCTTGTTAGCCTATACTATAGATCTATATTATTGTTCAATCTCCCGCTAATACTACACTGGCATTACTACACTCTTTCCCAATTGCATTTATACAATTTAACATTTCAGAGCTGCTATCAGAACGTCTGTATGCAATATCTGTGACTGTTTTAGATCCTTTACTGTTCCTCAGTTTCACTCATACGGTGTCCACTGCATGATTTCCTATCATTTCATCCTCCCTCATCATTGAAGTAGTTTTGCTTCTTATCAGTAAGTCTGTTCCATACCCTCTGTTGTTTCTAGTATCCGTCCTGTAAGCCTTATAACCTGGTATATTTCGTTCCAATTTCGACCATCTGTTGCCATGTCTCAGTAATGGTTACTGTATCATAATCACAAAGTTGAATTTGTGCCTGCAATTCATTAAATTTATTGCTTACCCTCCATACATGTGTATATAGAACTCTTATTTTGTCCATACACTGTAACCTGTCCCTCAACACCAGTGATTTATCCGCCTAGTTATGATTTCTTATTTATGGTTTATTCAAAACATTTCTTAAAATTTTATTATCTGCCCTGACTGAAGTAGGATTCCTGGCTGTTTCTTTACTCTTTGTCATAACTTGATTTTGAAATGGTTCTGATTTATCCACATGTTTACTTCGCTAATTTTCTTATCTCTATGCCAGTTGCACATGGCTTGGGTAATAATCCAAAAATTATAACCCTTGAGATTCTGTTCTCTATTTTTCTTCGTAATTTCTGATATTTTCCAGCCAGAACCTCTTGCATACTCTTGCCTATATTGTTACTCCCAAATTGGACTACAACTTCTGGCTTTTCCTCCTTCTACTCCTATGCCTTTTCAAGTTAGTTCAAGATGACACCTGGTAGGCAAAATGCCATGCCGAGCTCTCGACTCTACATAGAAAGGATGCTATCTGCACCCTTAATTATAGAATATCCTACTAGTACCACCTTTATTTTTGCCAGCCCCGTGCTTGAATGGCCTCCTGACCACACTGCAGTAGTCAGTTTGCTCATTATCCCTTTGGTCCTTTTCCTCATTCACATAGGGAGCAGGTATATCATACTTCTTAGATAAAATAAAACACGACTTAAAACAAATATCAAGTGAATATTGCACTAGTTAAGATAGAATTCTGAGACCTTTATTTGCTATAACCTCCGGGTATATTTTTCTATAGAAAAGAGCAGCTTTGGATTGACAAACTCAGCAGCAAACCAGAATGATCGAGAGTCCACATAAAACAGTTAGACCAATAACAGGTCTGAGAAAGTGCGATAAAATAATATTGACCAAACAGTAGGAGATCTATCAGCCTTTCTTCGATTGGCCCAATTCAAAGATAAACATCCAGCTTTATCAACTAATTTTATTGCTGTCATCAAGTATTTTGGCTTTAGCTATGAAGGATTGGAATATAAATGTCAAGAAAAAATTACCTCAGCTGCACAGAGCATTACAAAGGCTATACTTCGAGTACTGTATGCAATTTTTCTGAAGAGTGGTTGGATTGCAGCAATGACGCAGCAGTCTAGCTGTAGTAATGAGTAGGCAAGGTCGATGTAGACTGGAGTATAGAAGATTGAGGGGAATAAAATCTAAATATTATTTAGGTGTTTGATAGAGTAGGTGGTGATTCTTTTTATCTGGTGGCTAAACCCAGCCACAGGATCACAGTGTCAGAATAAGAGTCGTTCCTTTAGGACTGTGGTAAGGGCGATTTTCTCTCACAAAAGTATGTGCACCTTTGGGACTGACCGCCCCGAATAGCTGTGCAATAGGAATTGCTGAGTATATTTAAGGTAGAGGTTGCTAAATTAAAAGCAAAATAATGTATCTGCTGGAAATTTAAAACAAACGCAGAGAATGCTGGAGGAACTCAGCATGACTGGCAGAATCTCTGGAGAGAGAAGTAGAATTAATATTTCGAGTCCAGCATGACTCTTCAGAACAGTTCTCAGAATGTTAATTCTGCTTCTCTCTACAAAGATTTTGCCAGCAGTCTTGAGTTTCTCCAGCATTATCTGCGTTTGTGATACCTAATGAATGCAGGTCTCAATGAATGCGAAGGGAGTTTCAGAGTGAAATGTCCAACTTCACCTCTTATTTCGATATTGGTGCATTCTGACTCAGTTATCGGCTTATGCTTCATGGGGGAACCACAAGTCTCTCAATTCAGTTTCCCATCAATACTCCCTAAAGATCTGCGAGTAAAATCTAAACGAGTTGATGAATTATACTTACAGCAGATAATTCTTAGAGCGAAAAAGCGGAAGTCAGCCAAGAGAACTGAGATCATTTGAACAAAAAAAAAGGGTAAGTCAAAGAGCATTCAAAATACCAAGAAATAAATGCGTGGCACCATAATTCTGACCAGGTATGGTTAACATACAGATTAGAATTGTGGACATCCCAGCATTCTACTGGGTGGTTCAAGAAGGCAGATCACCACCTTCTGTAGGGCAATTACGAATGGGCAATAAATTCTGGTCTGGCAGGGATGCTCTTGTCCCATAAATGAATGTATATAGAGAACAAAATCCGATTTATGATTGGATGATATATTAAAAGCGAACGAGTTGATCTTGAGGAAAGGAATGAGGTGAAATTATATGGCGAATCCAACAGCTGGACCGAATATCTCATACTGCAAGTGAGATTGTAGAAAAGAGTCCAATTGGAAAATATCAAGGAGGAACATTGTTTCCAGGATCTGAAAGGTGTGGGATGAGGAGAGTTCGCAGCAGAGAACTTGGGAGATTCTCCACTGTTACGAGTTGTGAGAGATAATTCAGTCAGACAAAAAAAAAAACAGCAGCATGAGACAAACTGAAGGGATGTAATCAGAACTTTGATCCAATCTTCTGGTAAATGGAAATAATTGTTTCTTTTTGTTTAGCAAGA